TCTTGTTACAAACGGCGCGCAGGCTCCGCCCATTCCCCACACACACAGTGCAGGCCTAGCGTTAGAGAGTTTATTTCTTTTTAAACCAGAGTTGGTTAGAAAAAGATATAATTTATTCTAATAAAACTCTCTCAACATTGAAAATAAATTCTAAAATGCTATTACCCATGACCAGCTTCGGATAAGACAAGAATGATTAGAAGTCGAAACAATACATAGGATTCAGGACTGAGTTAGAATAGAAGTGAATGATGTTATGTTAATCACAGAATATCACAGATTATGTAGAAAAGCCTAATATGCGAAGATTTAGAATTCAGAAAGGAAATATTATAGTTTTTGAAGATCGAAAATATCGTCTTCGTCATCATCATCATTCATGTAGAGTGGGATTCGTTCGAAACCTGCTCGACTACCCGTGAAGAATCCTCGGCGGTTCAAAACCGATGAAACTCTTTGACGACATCCGAATATCTGAAGATAGCACATGAAATCATGTTCAAGAAATGCAACCTTACACATGCTATTAAAATTATAAACGAGACGAACGATACAACCACGAAGTTCGACGCCATGAACGTCTGAGGTCCAATATGAATTACATGTACGGCAGTAGGAGATCTTGTGGTAATCTGAAATTGGTTCAATCTAAGCAAGAGATCCAGATGAATTCCATACTTGGACAGAAAACTTATCTACGATTTGTCCATTGCGTAAAACGGTCAATTTGTGTGATCCATTCGATAGAGGAATGAAAACTTCTTCGAACCTGAGTGGGTGCATTTTCCCATCTTCTCTCAGAATGACGAGACTCGTGTCATCCGTAGTTACTCTCAACCCATGCAATCTTTGAAATACATTTCTTCATGAGGGCCTCTCTAGGTTATTACCTTTCATTCATCACCGATATTATACTTTTCCGATTTTCCTCGTAATGATGGCCAACTCCTGTCTCTGGACAGCATGCAGCTTGAACCAAAAGAGAATCAGGTTTGCTCCAATCCACAGTCGGTAAAGGTGAGCTTCCTTCGGACCATGCTATTCTTCGGATAGCATCTCGTTCTTGAGGCATTCCTAAGAGAATAATTAGAAATGAAAACTGACTATATGAATAACCTCCGTTACAGGTATCCGTAAGGGCATCTTGTAAGAAGGGATGAACGGATTTATAAATCGAGGCCAATTCATCACCAAATCCTCCTGTCTCATTTGTGTAGCGAAGCTGGATATGAATGAAACAGCATTAAACCCAATCATTACAAACCTTGAGTCCTCCTGTAGCGAAGAGGAGCATGTAATCGACTTGGGGAACATACTTCAAGATGTCAGACAACACTTGTTGGAATGGAGCAATAGTTCCGTAATCATGGCAATTGAACTGAGCAAAAAGATTTGATGGGTTCATGAAAACAGCTTGTCTACCTGTGTCACCGGAAGTTCTGGCATCATTATAAGCGTTGACTCTTTCAGAATCGTTTGAACACCTTCTAAAGTGGTATTCTCACACCAACGAGACATCATTTCGTAGACAAGTGTTTCCGTTTTCTAAAGAGGATAAGATGAGATGCCAATCCATTGTTTTACCTTCTCCAGTGCGACCACAAGTGTGAAAGGAGGTTTCCCACTTCCCATTTGGAAAAGTTTCAAAGGTTGAGGTGTAGGTATCTCTGTCAAACAGTTGTGCTCTTCCAATATAGGGATAGCTGCACTACAAATCACAGGAATGAGCATGCGACAGAGAGCATTCACAAACCTTGTGACGAGAGCCGCTTCAGCAGGAGTAAAATGATCAGCTGGATTAGCCGAAGGTACAACAGAAAACTCCTTCACAGCATCAGTCGTTAAAGCTTTTCTTAACATCTGAAGAAGATATCATAGGTGCGAAGTGATGCATCACGAACGTTGATATTGCTTCCAATGGTTGCTGCCTTCTTTGTCAGATCTGTGCTGTTATCACA